ACTATTTGCATCTTGATTAATGGAGAAAATGGAAGGCTTGTACATTGAAGAAATTGAGAGTAAAATTTGTACAAGGACAGTTGGGCTTCACTTTGTTATATTGAGAGGGACATTTTTCTACTACAAACAACTGCAAACAGAATCTTCGTCAAAAGAAGAATCAATGGAGACGACGAAGATATAAAAGCTTTGGCAAACTTTCTTCGGAAATATATCCTTAAAGTTGACGTGTTGGCATGTACTATGATGTTTTTTTTGTCCTGCACGGCTGTTTTCCTCATTCTTTTTTGCTTTTTTAAAAAAAAATAAATAAACTAACCGATTTTCAACTGAAAAAATGATGGATAAAATGCCAAATTCGTCACCATTTACCACTCAAAGAGGAAAAAAAAATTGTGGCCGAACAGCCACTAAGTGTTTCTTTTATCTGTCTAGTTGCTATTTATTAATTTATTGAATTGGTGTGTTTCCCTCCTTTTTGTTAATATACGTTGGACTTATGTTTGCGCGATTGCAGCATCTTCTACGGTCGGCAAAAGTTATTAATGCTTACACGTTAAACATAAGACGAAGAGGTAAGCCATAGCATTGAAAGTCTTTTCTAAGTTTCTAATTGAAGATTTGGAGCATTTTGTTAATTGTTGGCCGACAATGAGAGGTGTCGCCAAAAGTCAATTGCTGGATGATGCGACCATTTTACTTGGGCATTGGTCATCAACTTGATCCAAACATAGTGTAGTAAATCCCAAATCCAATTCTCATTTTTGCACACAACCCAAACCAGCCTCATTGGTCGATGAAGTGACAATTCCATGTTAGTATGTTATTAGAACAAATAAGTTTCCACAAAAATAAATCAAAAATTAATATATTTCTCCTTAATTTCAGTTGGGAAAAAAGGTTAGAAGACAGTAAATAATCCCATCTCAAGGCTAAGGTAAGCCATACACCTCATTCGTGGTTTACAAAAGATATAGGAGTAGTAAAAAGAAGATCACAAAACTTTAAAGCCAAACGAAATAGTTTATTAGGGGAGGGAGAGAGGGAGAGATGGATTGGGTGGTACAACAGGACGAAGGACGAAGGATAAGTGAGAGATTTTAGGTTCAAAATCTTCTAATTTTTTAAAAAATGAATTAGTTTATTAAAGTTAAAAAATCTTAACCAAATATTACGCATTGGCACTTACTGGGCCCTAACAATCGGCCCACACAGCTGATGAATCATGAGTAACAAACTTCTTGTGAACCACAGCGGACTTGGAACCTTCATATGGTCCATCTTTTGTTCAGCGTGGTTAATGTCAAATGAAATTGTTACTACCAGACACACAGTAAGGAAAAAAAGAAAAAGAAAAAGTGGCTGACTAATTGACAATTGCCTTATTTATTAGAGCATTTACTGTAATTAATTTTCGATGTTCTCCTCTGTGGTGTTGGAACTCTGCGTATCTGATGGTAAGTTGGAAAAATCTTAAAATGGGCCTAGTGGGCCCAAATGTCCATGTCCGATGAAGGGCGCAGAGGCCCACTTGCTGTCACCAATGCCACTACACTCTGGGTACAACAATGTCCCCTTTACTATTATTTTATCCCCCTTATGGGTTCTGCTTCCAAACCTGATCCTCCTTTCATTAGACTTGTATTTTTTTCGACCTTTCATCAAAATCAATTCATTAGACCCTTCATCAAAAAAAATTCATTAGAGCCACTAACTATATGTCAGAATTGGCGATCGCTAGTTTTTTTTCCCTATATGTTAGGGTCTGTCTAACATAATATTTTAGAGTTTTTCTAACAGGTGCTACATTGAATATTCGTTAAGACGTATATCAGTTGTTAGATTTTTGAAAAAATAAAATTAATAAAAAATATATATATGTATTGAAAGATAATAATTATTAGTATGTGTACATACATGATAGGTCGGGTAGAATTTATGTGTATTAACAAGTGCCTAATAAACATCAATTAGAAAAGCTTTATATTTTATGCTTGAGATATGGTTTAATTGTAGTTGCCTTTCAAAAAAAAATTCCATTTCCATATTTAAACTACTATTCCATACTCCATCCGGGAATTTTGATGATACGAAAAGGTTAACCCATCCATACAAGACCCAAAAATTCCATAACAAGCACCCCTCCTTAGAGGCCGACGTCCTTGTTGGCCTGGAAATTCGGGGCTCCCCCTTCTTGGAGGCAGAGTCCCGTGAGACTCGAACCTGGGACATTGGGATTATTTGTCTGGCTCTGATACCATTGATACGAAAAGGTTAACCCATTCATACAAGGGCTAGAAATTCCATAACATTTGATGGGTCAAGATTTGCACCAAGCATTACACTTTTTTTTTTTTTTTTTCTGAGGAAAGCATTACACTTATTGTTTCTTTTTCCTGCCTGAAGTTTGTACTCTGGAAGAAGTTGGATGCTTTTGTTTCAATCAGCGGTAATAATATAAAATATAAATTATCACATGAGGTGGAGACCGGCTCGAAAATTCTTCCCCTCCAATCGTTTATTGCGAGAACGACCCCCTGTTAGAAGTTTGTCCTGGGCAGCATTGATTGCCATTTCAGCTGATGCTCTTATTGAGAATGGACCCATACTATAGCCCCAAAAGAAGGCCCGACAGGCATTCGTCTAGCCCCACAACCCACCTCAAACGGTGAGAACAAGAAGTACACTACCATTTGGGACACCCCCCCCCACCCAACACTCGGCCCCCCAAAAAAATAAAAAAAAATTGTCTTCCCATGAATAAATTGTCCAAGAATTGAGTTAACATCAAATTTTCATTCACAACCAACAGCCCAAAGGCTTGGCCATCACCAAGTTCTTCTTAAGGAAACCTTTTGCTAAAAAATTCATATGTGTGCATAGTGTACTCGTCGTCTGATTTGATGATAGATCAATTTCCATCAATCCCGCGTTAAGTCTAGTTGGATTTATTTTTATATTAGGATAAAGTAGAATAATATAGATAAAATGACGATAAAAAAAAAAAATTGCATGTCACAAGACCACATGAAAGCCTTCCTAGGTATAAGCTTTTTCCCTGTGCAGTTCAATGTAAATATGTAATGAATGAAAGCTCACGCAAACATGAAACAGAAAAACACACTAATAAAACAGCTAAGAGGAAAAAGAAGAACAGCTGGAGAATGTGATGTGGCCCATTCAATGAAAGTTAAAGATGCATCCAAAAGTTCATCGATATATCAACCATCAAGAGCCTATTATAGCATGGACAAAAGTTTCTCGCTTCAACTTTATTGATTGACCATTTCTATGCAAGCTTTTATTAGTAAGATTCATTCAGGATGGCATTGAAGCCTATTCATCATCTAACTAAAATATAGACGAAACTATGGCATATAGGCAAGCGATCTAAGTCAGCAAGAAATGATTTTTACTTGCCAGTTTGATGGAGTAAGCAATTTTCCGGTTAACTTATGGTTCTATCTCAATTACGCCCCAAGATTCCATCCCCGCTACTTTTTTTCTTTACCTTGAAGCCTCTGCAATTGTAGGGGCGAAGTTGAATTCTGATAAAACTTGTGAAACTTAAGATAAAAATAATAAAAATGAGTAATGCTCAATTTTCATAAATATTGGTAGCATCTTGTAGCCGTTAGTGACTCTTTAATTGGGCAAAAGAAGTCCGCTTATTTGTCTTAGCTTCAATAGAAATTCTGTACATTCTAGTCATTTAAGATGTTAAACTGTTGGGAAGGCTGTGAAAGCCAATATAAGTTGTCTCAATTGGTAAGAACGATCATTTATTTACAAGAGATTCTGTGTTTGAATTACGTTGTTAACGTGAGAACTGTGACAGAATCCCTATAAGCCATCTATGGTTTTGGTGGAAAGGCCGTGAGGTTTCCAGACCTCCTACAATTGCCCGCGGAATGCAGTACAGCAATGCCATTTAAAGGTTCAAAACAAAATTGAACGATGGGCCAACAAAGGGAGGAAGAAGAAAACGAAATTACAGAAGAGAAAACTGAAAAGGTTATCACTGAAACGAGGTAGACTGTTGGACCAATTTAGTGTAGCAACTTTGTACTCAAAGGCCAAAAAATTGAGGGACACTGGCATGGCCAAGACTGGATTCTGGCGTCCGAACAGTTCTGGATTCATCTATTTTTTTCATGAATCGTTGTAGCTCCTCTTTACCTTTGTGTCTCTCATTTCAGGCTAATTTGGCTTGTTAAATTTTATCCTGTTTGGAAGGGGGAGCTGAAGAAGTGTTGACAACTATCCTGTTCTTTTTCTTACTTCCGTGACCTGAACGTTTTTGGATTGATGATTATATGGAACTTTTTGGTATTATTCATTGAGATATTTTTTAATGTAATATGATGTGTATGAAATAAAAATTTGATTAGAAAATGCGTCCATCCGTAATATGAACAATTAGTTCAAATGATTAGTATATCCACAACACTCCTATTACATTCTCCTAGAATGAGGAAAGATTTCCACAGCAAATGTGTTGGTGCCAAAGTAGGGCTCTCGATGAACAATAACAGGTTTTACCAGGACATAAATGAGAAATGAATGTCGAATAATGGGATACTGAGGTCAATCAGTCAAAAGGAAAAAGGACTTCCAATTTGTACACAGGTTGGTTCCGGGGGTAGATGAAGTGGGTTGGCACTATACGACCATGCAACACTAGATTGTCTTACTTAATCCTTAAAACAGTTCCCCTGGACTCATAATCTATGTACAAAAACCAAGAAGAATGACAGCTCAAAGAATCTCATCTTATTTGGAGTAGTCAATCAAAAAAGAAAATTTAAGATCAGCTGTTTCTTACTTGGCTGCGTCCTCTACTAGCATTTTTTTTTTATCGCATATGATGTATCATCCCTCTCACTTGGACACGGGAAACCAAAACAAAAAAAAAATAAAAAGAAAACCATCAAACAAGAGTGCTGAAAGGAGAGGAAAAGGTAAAGAGGCATAATGCTGAATGAGTTAACTTTCTTCTGTCTATATGATTCCCATGTGAGCATCTCTCCTTGGATGCGACCTTCCAACCGTATAGTTCACCGACTTTTGCCACGCGCTGGCTACTCACTAGTGGTTTCTTCAGGTTCCTGCTTCCTCCTATAAATTATCTTTGCATGTTTGAGTTAGATATTGCTTGCTTTAAAGCTTTAAGATAAATACAAACGATTTATCACTCGAAGAAAACTATGTAAAACTAGAAGCCACGACATCTGTGGCGTCTATTCCTTTTTATTTAATACCAATACACATTAGACAATGACTTTTATCCAAATTTAGGAGGATTTTGTTCTTTAAATTCGTGGGATTTATGCTTTGTAAAGCTAAAAATCTTTGCAAGCCATAATCACACATCATCATTCCTCAAGGTGATTAATTATCTGTAAGAAAAGGGAACTCTTTCTTTATTTAAGGCTAGCTTTTCCCAAAGATGAGAAGCTGATTCTGTGTCTTTGCATTGCATGTCCAGAGAAGACTGGGACAAGTCATCAAAATTCCTAGTAAGATTTTTTTTTTTCTTTCTTGGGTTTTTCTTCTCTCTGCATATGCTTTCAGTAACTCAGAGTCGGTTGTCTAGTTTTTGGTTTGAGCTTGAAGCAAATATCTTCTTCTACATGGTTGAGAGATTGAAGCGGTAGTATCTCAGTTAAGGGGCACCACTTCTTTCTAGCTTCTTTGAGCCACTATGATACAGATATAATCATATAAAGATGAAGTCTTTGAGTAGTGTAGGACTTGGATTGAGTCTTGTTTTTGGATGTCTTTTCTTGGCCCTTGCTGCTGAGCTTTACTATTTGTTATGGTGGAAAAAGAGGATTCCCAACAGACATAATATCGAAGATGGTTATAGCAGCACAGGAACAGTGGCCAAAGAGTCTTTCTACAAGCTTTGTTGGAAAAAGCCCTCATCTTTAAGATCCGCTACTCTGAAACTGAATCCACAACATGTTTGCTCTTCTCATGAGACCCTTGTCCATGAACCTCAAGCTCAACATCATGGCAATTCGAACAAGGATTTATGGCCCTATGAAGAAGATAGTGTGGAGGCAGAACTCGTGAGGATGCATAACTTCTCGGGGCCTCCTAGATTTCTCTTCACCATCAAAGAGGAAACAAGAGAAGATTTGGAGTCTGAGGATTCGAAATCTAGAGGGGAAAGGAGTAGAAAAGGATCAAGGAGTAAGAGCTTAAGTGATCTTTTTCACATAGTGGAAACTCCTTACTTGACACCTATAGCTTCACCGCCATATTATACACCCCCTTTGACTCCAGTGAAGTCCTTGTACAATGGCCAACCTGGTTTTAATTCATTCTTTGGGTCGGCTAATGAAGCAGAGTTCAATTGGTTAAGGTCTTCACCTTCTCCGATGTTTCAATTGCTGAAGGATGCTGAGGGCAAACAGTTGAGAAGAAAACTCACGGTCACAGAAGAGATTGATCAAGATTTTGTTCACAGAAATGATGTTCCTTCAACTTCAACTATTCTCATGGATGAAGAAAATGAATCATTTATCACGCTTGTTGTTAATAAGAAAAAAGAGTTGAAGAATGATCAACATGATCAGAATGTGAATGTGGTTCAATTTCCCTCCAACACTTCGCAGGTACTCCCCCTAGCTTCTTCACCTCCGACATTCAAATTAACGTCCGATAACAAGTACACCATGGATCAGATGCTCCAGCAAGGTCAATAGAAGGGTCTTACACCAGTGCAAAAATCGTCAAGTATCGACAAAATTCAAGGAGACAACATTCTCATTTAGATAAAGAAATCTGAAACTGATGTTGAGAGGTGTCTGATGCCAGTGGAAGACCAGTGGGTTGGTTCGTTTTATTCAATCTCCTGTCTCCTGAGTTGGCTGGATGTTCCTGTAATTAGCTAATTATCCCTTTTCTGGGTTGTGTAATCATGTACTGCTGACGACTAAGCCTTTACTGAAAATCAAGCCACGGTGTTAGTGTTACTGCTACAGATGAATGTTAATCAGCAAGTATTTATTGTTTTCTGGCACAATATTCCCTTTCACTCTGTTCCTGACATTTACATTTTCTGATTATTGAACGATCCAATGATTTTCTTTTTATTATGACCAGATGTGAAGTTATGGACTCGAGCAAATACTAATTTTTTCTGGTTCACGTATTATCAGCTTCAAACAGGCGTCAATGGTGAATTGACCCCCCCCCCCCCCAATTATGATGATACTGAGGGAGATGGTCATCCGTACACGTAGAAAAGGAACTGTGGAGGGGCATAATAGTTGTCGAGCCAAGCATCTCTCCTTTTCTTTTTTGCCATAGAAATGATTTTGAATAGACCAGAGGAGAACAGCTTTTCAAATAGGTACAAAAATCAGGATGGAGGTGAATTTGTTCGATAACTAAACTAGCCGGTTCATAAAGGGTGCATGAGCAAGTAACTGATATGCCCGGAAATAACCATTTGTTTTTACTATAAAGTATAAACCAGCGAGTTGCTAATGTGATGTTTTGGCATCAACCTAAAGAACAGGGCAAGTAGCTAAACAGAGCACTTGCCCGTGACAAAGTCCCGTGCGTGCAGCCCCAAAGGCACCCCACCTTGAAGAATCATTTCGTTGAGCACATTTTTCTAATCTCTAAAACAATATATAGTAATGTATTATACTGGCACTCATGGTATTGGCAAAACCATGTCTGAACTGAAGATGATCACATGCTTCAAAAGATGCAATCAAACAAATCCGAATTGAGCTTTCTGGTATCGGTCTCCCTCCCACTGTATTGTAATGTTTATTAATGATGGATGTGCATGGCCTTAACAGTAAGAGGCTTTTTTTACCCAATGCATATGATATGATCACAACTTGACCGAATATCGCAAAAGCTGTACCACAAGGAATAGAATAGGGAGTAGGGACCAATTTTCTTTCTTTCTTTCTTTCTTTTTGGGAGAAAGAAACTAAATTCAACGGCTAATAATTGGTCTTACAGGAAAGATGGTTATAAGTATCATTTTGATTCACATTCACGCTTCATCTTTCCAAATAAGTAACCAATTTTATCTTAGCTTCAAACCAGTTTGATAATATACCCAGCAGCGTTTAGATTACTCAACTTGAAATCATCATCTTAATGACTGAAAAATGACTTCTAATTTACTCCACCATCTAAATGCTTCTACAGTTTACAAATAGTACATTTCTGCCCACCTAACAAAAATCAACACCAAGTAATCCGTGGCAACTGATTAGAAGTGGGATGCACTTTCTCCTTGCTGGTGCTATGCCACGCAACATCTAGCAGCAGTACATGCCTACATCATACGCAAAATCTGCCAGTTGCTTGTAATAATTCTTCTAAGTGACACCAGTCATAACCTTAAAACCTTCTTGAATATTTAGCTCAGGCAAGCAAAAATAAAATATTTGGGAAAAACCACAAATGCGGCACATATGTACCCAATAATTGGTGTAGCAACTGATTGCCATCTCGTTTTACATCACGATCAAGAAAGTAAATTGGACATCAATACTATCCCATCACTATATACTAATAAAAAAAAAAATAACCATTAAGAGTAAGGTGGCAGCGCTGTCATGACAGATGCCATCCGCTGAAACCTTAACAATCCTTCCTCAATTATTGGGATACTAAGCCGGAACCCAATGGCACTTCCAAGTTCCAATAGCGCAAGCTTAAATATTACAGTTGGAGATGGAGTCCGACGGTAGCAATCTCTGTTACTCCTAGCTCAACGGAGACAGGGTTTAGGCCAGGTTCATCTAATAGACTAAATGCACAAAATCCGTAGAAAGAGTGGTAAAGATCTGGGAACTGTCCGGGGGATTTACAAAAACCACCATACTGGAAAAAAAATAACAAAAAACAAGGAATGATGAGATTTTGCAGCTCAAAATTTACATTTCTTACATACTCATTACAAGTAAAAAGCAGACGAAGCCGTCTCATACAGGAGAAGGAACAAGCTTAATCATTTTTCAATGTAAGAAACCATGGTAAAGCAATGAGATATCATTTAAAACACTACCATCTTCAGAAATCTTGAAGACAACCAAACGTCATCCATAAACCCAGCAATTTACTTGTTAGGGGTGGGAAAACAAGAAAATCTAGTTGAAAAAAAAAAAAAAACGCTTTCCGTGTCTCTGAGAGAATAGGGACACACAAAAGGCTGTAATCTACTACTTCGGTAAAGCCTGAGAGACCTATTCATGGAACATAGTTTCTATTTGCCAATAATGCCTCATGCTATGAATGATTTCCCCCAACTTCCTCCCATAATCCACTGCCAGATAACTTACCGCTCCTTCTTGCAACCCATAATATTTCGAATAGGGAAATGAAGAACGCCCTGGCTACAACCATACTGTTACAAGGGACAGACACTTTCCTAACACTTAGGTGAGGGGAATTAGAATTGAATAGCACAAAGTAAACAGGAAATCATGAAGTTTTTGGATTGTTTGCTTCATGGGACATACAAGTTTTCTCCTCCATTGGTTTTTTTTTTGTTTGGGGGGGGGGGGGGGGGGGGGGTTGATTTTCAATATTAATCTCGTAATTCTTGCCCATGCAATTGCATGTTTATTAATTGAGTTCTTTTGTACGTGCTGTACGGAGTGAGACTTTAATGATTCCTGATATAGTCATAGTTTACAAGATTTTACGAACTAAATAACAAACATCTTAATACTAACAAGTCAGTAAAATGCTAGGACTGACAAACACATCTTAATAACAACAAACACATTGAATGTAGAAGAAGGTAGCACCTGGGACTGACAAGTCAGTAAAAATCCTCGTAAGCCCCCTTCATCAATAAACTTCTCAGCTCCTAAGATTTTGAGAACTCCTCCTACCCTGTAGAAGCGCAGTGCCAATCATGCCATCAGAAATGCAACCAAGCTCAGGAAGTTAAAATGGAAGTTTTGAACTTACCAAAAAGCATAACATGTATCAGTAAGCTTGTTTGGTCTGCCTTGAAATCCACCGTCTTTTGCCTGCCTCTGTAACAGGCAAAGAAGCAATATGCTAATCATCTAAGAAGAAAAGAGGACCCTGTGGGCACATTAACTATAAACTGCTGGTTGTTTTAGAAGTATTCTCATCTATATCCATAGTGAAAGGCTAGTTGAAGTCATAAAATATGGACAGATTTGTACACTTATGGGAAAATTCCTCCTCACCCTCTTGTACAATGAAATAAAGTTCTTTCCTGTTCTGAATCAAGGGAATATGTGTTTTTAGACTCTGGGATTAACCATATTTGTCTATAGATGAAGAAAACCAACCTGCAAGCACCAGTCAACCAGCATTGGCACATCTATAATGCAAGGGGACATAACTTTAGACAATGGATCATCTTCTATGTAGCCCATCAAGCGGAGAGATGCAACAGCACAGTACGTGGCACCCCCTGTGATACTAAGTAAAGAAACCCATGAGTATTGCACAGTATCCTACTATTATGTTTCTCTCAATTTTTCAGCATTCTCAAATGGAGAACAAAATTGAATTAGGAAACAGGAAGCATCTTCCAGATCCAGAAGTCACTAATCATTCGAGGAGTAAATTCATATAGGAACAGCCTTGAAGAAAAGTTTAAAAAAAAAAAAATCTGTTGCTTGCAAAAATAATAAAAATGATCCCCCCCAAGGAAAAAAGTTGAGCAACCACTACCCAGTACCAAACAACCTGCGGGTAAACAGTGACATTCCATACAAAAAGAACAACACTGTTAAAAACAAAAATAAACAAACAAAACAAGAGTAACCTGGCAGAATAAAATGGACAAAAAAAAAAAAAAAAGAATAACCTAGCAGAAAAAGACCAATGTTGTTCAACAAATAACCTGCTGCTAAAAAGATACAGCTGTTTGATTTTCAAATTGTATGTGAAAGGGAAGCACAATAAAGCTGCATCCAACACCACTAATATTATGGGTTTAGAAAGAAAAAAAACAATCGAGTACAATGACACCTAGCAAAAGTAACTGAAAAAGATAAGTTGATCAAAAACCATTGAAGACTACCAAAGAAACAAAGAGAAGTTTGTTTATTTGCGGGAAAAAAGACGAGAGAAAAAATTCAATGCGCTGAAGATCAAGCAGATGCCAAGATCATACACAATTGTGTCCACTCACCATGTGATTCCGAACCAGGAATCAACCCAAAACCACCATCATATGACTGCAAGGACAACACTTGTAAGCACATCTTAAATGTATCTCAGATACACAATAGGAACATATGTTTGCAACTTGAATAATTAAACAAACTAAACATGCCATTCAAGCTTTACATACCTGACACTTTATTATGTAATCCTTTGCTTTCTCTCTGTCCAGACCACTCCAATTGCCCAACAAAAAGCAGATGGCCACTGATACATTAAACTGTTAGTATTATCTATCAATATAAGAATTTCAATAAGAAGGACCTAAAAGCATCTTCCTCACCTGCACAAAATACAAAACGGAGATCTGTCTCTGCACCATAATGAGTAGGCATAAAACTGGAAAAAGACAACAGCTTTCATGTATCAGTTTGTAATATTAGTCAAGAATCAACCGGTAGATAAAAAAGAAGTGAAAAATATAGCGACTAGAATTAAGAACAATGTCAAAGCTAGAAAGGACTCCTTTAGGTCATTTTCTTAATCGATGCTAAAATGACAAATCACAAAATCTTCAAGTTATAACAGTGATGTGGCAACTACAAATGTTAGAGTATGCATCCAGCTTGACACTATTCCTGCCAAGAGTAATTTCAGAGAATAGAAATTAGCTCAAGAATGAGAAACTGTCTTCAATAAATAAATAAACAAATAAACAATTGAGGATGTAGAAGATGGATGCTAACACATAGCAGCATTTAAGAGATAAGCAAAGCTAAGCATTTTGCAGCCTTTTTTTTTTATTGTTCTTCAGTGAATGCAGTGGTGCAGGTAATTTCTCAACATGTGAAAGAAATTTTCCAGCTGTGATCTAGAATGGAACAAAAGGTAGGTTGGACAAAGGTTGCAAATACTTCTTTCATTGCTAATTCTTTACTTT